CAAAAAAAGTCAATTTTTTTTTTTCAAATCGAGATTCAAACCTTTATCAGTTGTGATCCTGAAGGTGATAATCAATGAATGAGGTGTCATATGAAAGAGCAGGTGAATTCCAATATTTCCAAAGGGGCGTAGCCCCCGAAATTCTAAAAATATCTTGGTCAAAACAGCAATTTAAACATTGTGTCCTGGCTAACTCTGAGGTTTGTCACTTTTGAGATATGACGCCCCGATCGATAAGTAGTCCCAGTCCTAAGGAACAATTCTATGTGATTATATTTTCGCTAGCCCCCAGGGATCACAACTGATAACAGTTTAAAAATACCCTTCTCGCTATTTGGTGGATCAGCTAATTAGGGGGCGTGCGCTCCGCTCAGTCCAAACCATGGTTACATCGCGTAACATCTCCGCGCACGAACGAAACCCCAAATTCAATTACACATTATAGTGACTGAAATTATGGTTGGAAATTCCCTCGATAAACCCGGAAGTGAATACACGTTATAGTCAATGGCAATATCGCGGAGACAACGTGCGTTGTCTCCGCGATATTGCCATTGACTATAACGTGCATTCACTTCCGGGTTTATTGTGCGACGATTGCCAACCATACTAGTCAATCGCACATGTCGCGGAGACAGCGTAGCTCAAGCTGCAAGTCGCGGATTGGCTTAGCAGCATGCGTACGATATGCATACGCTTGCATATCGCGCGATACAGCTGTTTGGCTAAATTTAGCAAAACAACATCACTCTGCGTTTACGTCTTTTTCGACGATTTTGACCAAAATGATATGAATATACCAGCGTGTTGGAGGGGCTGTAACTTTTGATAGAAACATCGGTGAGACTTGAAATTTGAAATGTATTATTCTGATAACATTTTTTATTCAAATATCAAACAAAAATGGTGAAAAACGATCCCAAATTGAAATTTGAAAAATCGTTCAGACACCCTAATGTAAGGTGTGTACGCTCCTTTCGCTATACATCGATTCTTTCTACGAGTTTCGTTTTATTTTAATTTAGTCTGCATGAACAGACCATGAAATGCCTGTTCTGGTGCTATATGTAAACTGACCTTGAACAAACCCTAATTATAAGCTACATATAGATCTATGGAGGAATTAGGTGGAAGACAAATTAGGAAAGAATTACAAACAATACTACGTTTCCTAATTTATCAATAAAATTGTCTCCTTAGGTTAAACCCCGGACACGTCATCGAGCAAGATAAAGAATTGCAGATCTTAATAACACATTGTAGTATGGCAGAATAGATGTAGATCTAGGTCTACTTTTAGTTTTAGAATCACTGCACTGGAACGGCCGAAGTTAGCGTGCATTAATAACAGAGGCGCAATGCTTTATGTAGACATTGCTATATGCTGTAGCGAGAATTAGCTATGCTATCTGAGAGTAACAGATCATACAGGGTCAGATCAGGGGGACTCTCATGGATCACGTTCTCACAGTCATAATCACACATCACACAGAGTCAGACATGCACGACTCAAATCCAAAACAAGAGGTAAACAACTGGCCCCAAATTAAAATCGCTTTCAGCATGTTTAGCAGACGCCAATCGCAGGAAGTGGGACTGAGATTAGTCAATCATTACCACGATTGCAAGCTTAGACGGCCAACAAAACGGGGAAAGGCCCGATAATTTAGCGCCTACAATCAATAATACTTTTCAGCACATTAATAACATTCTTGATAATTCATAGACAAGTTTCCGAATATTGCTTGCAGACGGCAAAGTTTAAAAAGTAAACAATAACTTACGTAACACTTTTCCCAGGGCTCGATTCATGTTTCTAGAGATGGCGCTCTTTGAAATCTGTAGACGTTTGCATTGCATTGGAACCCGAAAATGTTCAGTTTGCGCTTTGGTCATTCGGCCGTCACCTCCAAATCTTCTCCTTTTTGGTATAGCTTTGATTGTTTTATATTTAATATGAAGACGAATTTGAAGAATTTGAAGATTTTGAGGAGGAACTGAGAAAAAGAAGAATTTGAAGAAGGAGAATTTGAAGAAGAAGAAGAAGAAGAAGAAGAAGAAGAAGAAGAAGAAGAAGAAGAAGAAGAAGAAGAAGAAGAAGAAGAAGAAGAAGAAGAAGAGGAAGGAAAGGAAGAAGAAGAAGAAGAATAAAAAGAAAAAGAAAAAAAGAAGAAGCAGAAGAAGAATTTGAAGAAGCAGAAGAAGAACTGAGAAAAGAAGAGGAATTTGAAGGAGAAGAATTTAAAGAAGAACTGAGAAAAAGAAGAACTGAGAAAATGAAGAATTTGAAGGAGAAGAAGAAGGAGGAGGAGGAAGAGGAAGAGGAAGAGGAAATGGAAGAAGAAGAAAGAGAAGAAGGAGAAGAAGGAGAAGAAGAAGAAGAAGAAGAAGAGAGGAAAACACGAAATTAAAAGAGAAAATAAAAGGAAGTAATTGGAAAACAGGTCACGTATAGCTTACTATTCATTCTTTTTATTATTTCACATAACATAATTATTTGGTGGAAGGTTAATGTTAGATGTTTATGAAATAGGTGGCAATAATTGATTTGAGGATCAAACTCAAAACCGAGAAGAAATTTTCAAATTGTGCTCTATTTGATCATTTCATTCATCTCATTCATAGTGTTTGTAGGAGATATTCACCATCAACCAAGATTCATTAGACATGCTGTTGGATAAGCATAATCATTACAAATTTCAATTTTGAATAAAATTGTCAGATTTCTTCTCCATTTTTTTATTAAGGAGATGAAGCTTTATCTGGTAGGCCTACTATCTTCATAATAATGTTAACCACAAATTATGTGATAACTAATACTTCAGATTTAGATCAAAATTTAATATCATGCTCGTTTAAGCAAGGGATCTTTTTTTCTTTTTTTCTTCAAAATGTCAAGCGTACTATAATGATTTGTTTTAAGGGAGCCATTGCAGCTACTCAACCAGACAGCAAATCCCATTTCAGACTGCTAAAGAATCATTCATACAATCTCAATCTTCACAACAGCATTTCAAAGAAGCACAACTTAAGCAGTATGAAGGTTAATACCTTTAATTAGCACCACTGTCAAATGTATATGAATTGTAGGTGAAAATATAAAACTTTTTTATAATACATAATGCATGTAGGATATGAATGAATCGTATGCTATTCATTTATGGCACTTTAATAGGTCTTGAACAGAATATTGACTTTTACGTCTTGAACAGGATATCAAACTTATAAAGAGAAAAATAGAAATATAACCATGGTGGAATAGTATACAAATAATAAGCAGCAGTGAGGGCATTACTAAGAATTACCCACACAAGTTACCTTTGGAACAGTCTAACACGCTACGAGGTTGGGGCAAAAATATGACAATGACCATGAAACGTTGGTATGAGATCTTCTTATGAAAGATGTTTTTTTATGCAATGAATATATGTAGTAGTGCCCTGTCAGAATCGTTTCTGTTTCAGCTGTTTTGCTTAATACACAATACTCTTTTGACCAGCATTACATGGACACCATTACATGGACACCATATTCATATAACATTACATAAGCTTTGAGTATATAATATTGATTCACCCTTAAAGATAAAGTTGAGTTCTGGTCATGCGATTGCATTGTGAAAGAAACGGTGTGGAACCGACCAGAAACGGTTGATCATCTAGCATATAAGAATTTGTGTGTATTGCAAGGTTCTGGAATCATCAAAATGATAAGAAATTTAGCCAAGACTTGGTAAAGTTACAAACACTGTACACAGAAAGATGTATATGGGACTACACGAACACGTGGCGTAAAAAGCCGCCCCCCCCCCCCCCCCCCCCCGATTTTTACGATGTTACATGCATATTTAGAATATGAAGGCATTTGAAGAGCCATGCTTTTCAGGGAACATGTCTTATCTGATGTTCTTCCACACTTGCATAATAAGAATGAGTAACGCTCACAAATTATTTTTCACCTCTTCCCAGAACTCAACCTTCTCTTTAAGCTTGAGTACTTCTAAACTTGGTTGGCTGTGCTGTTTATGCTAAACTCAATTTGAGCAAACATTGTTACAGTTGATAGGAAACATAGTTTCTCACTTCTGGTATCACAAAAATTGCCCGAACCCCATGGAATGACCCAAATACAAAATCAAAATCCACGTATTAGTCAATATAAGTTCAACTTTCATGTATTTAAAGTTGAAGTATTTTCTTTGGTCGTAATACATTTGCATTGTGCGAGGTCGACTTTAAATTCCCTTTACATTTCTTCCTGGTTGTAGATTTGCCATTTACATACTGAGATGTTTTCAAGTTTGTCATATGATGAAATAGCTTTTAAAAGGCTTACGGTCTCAACGACCTACATATAAGAAGCAGAGGAATTGATAAAGGTACAGATTTAGGAGAAAAAAACACAGTTAACAAATATTTCTTCTTTCTCTTCAGCTTTAAATGAGGTTCAACGATGAACATCCTTGTCACCCTTCAGTAGTGATCTAACTCATGTAAACTACGTGCTCAAGATGGAAAGCATGGGAATTCAATGTCCTCATGTTTACAGAACCTTGAAACTTCTTTGGTAAATTTCTACTCATAGTTTATGGATAAATCAACTACCAGCCAATGCAGTTTACTGCCTGAACAGTTGATGATTCCAAGAGGCCACCTTCCAGTCATCAGACGGTTGGAAACTCCTGTAGGTTCCAGAATGCTATAGGAGCATGATTTTTACTTGCACATCACTATTTTATTGACACCGTTCTGTTCCAGCACAACACATCCCATCCCAGTTTAGCTTGGAAAGCTGCTTCAGGGATGATCTCATCAATGTTCAAGGCGCATAACAGTTCCACGTAGAAGTCAACAAAGTCTTAAAGCCCCACTGCACTATGTGTAGCGACTTGCGCCCTCTATATAGCAAACAATGCCTAATCGGCGACCATTGGTCCTCCATGGTCCCCTTTTACTATGTCAATTGAGAGCTGATTTGATGAGATAACTACCTTTCAGTGACCATGCAAGGAGGTCTAATCCCTCCTGGCAACACTAGTGCAGAGGGGCTTTAAGAGTCAGCAATAGCATTCTCACGTCAAAGCATTTGATGAGCGATACAGCTGATAGACCACTTTACTCAATGCAGGCCCCATGTTCCTAGAGGAGTGAAAAGAGATCAAAGAGAAATAAATCAGTAAAATTATAAAATCAATGAAGTCTATGTCTGCATTGAAAATCAGACCGATTGTAAACCATTAGAAAAATGAATTTTGGAGACTGATATATGATCCAACTGCCTTGAGTCTATCATAATAAACCAGGAAAGAGTAGCACAAAATTAGAAATACAAATCTGTATCTATCCCATTCTAGAAACAACTGACTATAAAGTACCGATGCAACCCTTTAAAAAAGTAATCTTTTCTAACAGATTTATCCAATTTTTTTTCTGAACTGCGCGCACTTAGCAACTGTTGCGCCCCATTTTTAAGGTTTGAAGAATGATGGTGTGATAAATATTGTCATTTCTTGACAATAACGTATATATGTTGTATCTCCTATGGTTGTTTCATTTCTTCTTCTTCACTAATATATATTTGTTATGCGAGAGAAACAGGCAGATGAAGAGGCATTTTATTTAAAACACTAATCAAGATATCATACTCCATGCAGGGATAAAATATTTTGTTGGTTGAATAATAATAATAATAATAAACAATATTTATAAGGCGCTTAATACTGGTGTCTCTAAGCGCACCATATTCTGACTTCACAATTATTTACCAAAACTTATAATAAACACACAACTTATACATCTGTTCTTTATTCAATAAATCATGCATATATAATAATAAAAAATAAGATAAGAGTGAGATCAAACAAACATACATACAAGAGGTCAAACAATGAATACAATGAATACCACAGGAAAATACTACTGGCTTACCTCTGTGACTGTCCATACTTGACTTTGGCCAACATTTTCTCTTGATCTGATGGAAGACTGCATGTTTCATAGGCCCTAATGAGACTGAAAATAGGAGGACAATTGGCAAACTCAAGTGAATTTTCAAAAGAAATAACATTAAGAAAGCAACATACATGTACCATCATCCCTTCACAGTGATTATGGTGTGTTCAGGAGAGGACATCGCTAGATTTTGACAAATCAATATTACTATTATGATCAAAAAAGTTTGAAGAAAAAAAAAACAGTGTGACAGGAAGATTTGATATACTTTCTGATAGTTAATTCAATTTCTTGTCATCAATTACTAGTTACACAAAAGACAGCTTCTCCACGTAGAGAAAGCCATTCCATCAATAATTTTGATCTAAAGGATTTAGGATAAACATACTTTTCTTTATGTTCATTTTCATTTTTCATTTTATTTCATTTCAACACGGATCACTTGCTTCAGCCAACGGCTGTTCTTCTGCAAGTCTGTGCATACATAAATTTAAAAAAATCACATACACAATAAGACAAAATACAAATTAAACAATTACAACAGTAAAAGAAGAGCAGATTTCAAATCAATTGAATAAAATACAACAAAAATATATGTATGTTGCCATTGATAAAAGAATGCAATGCAAAATGCTTATCCTTACTCGGACGGTGTCTGGTAAATCTGTGTGAGAGCCAATGCCTTTTCTGCTGACATGCCGCCGAACTGCAAGAGCTGCTTTGCAAATGTCTCGGTTACCGTCATTTCCTTTTAAAAGGTATTGAAGAAAAGTAGAGGTAAACCATATTTAATGCATGATATACTACCACAGAGAATTGGTCAACATGATCTAGGTGAATCATGTGGAGAAATAGGTAGTGGTTCATTGCTTTGAAAATGCAATCTTCTCATTTCTATTTAAAAGTATAAAGTAAGAATAATGATGAGAGCATAACTGAAAATTAAGTTTGCACTGGCAAAGTACAGTAAAAAAAAAAAATACATTCTGTCAATAAAATGAGTCATGATGGTCAAATCACAAATTCATAATCTAAGGATACTGAGAAAGCTGTTTGTAGTTATAGTCAGTGGTGAAGCAGTGGTCTCTTTACTCAGGAGGTCCCGGGTTTGAAGTTGATGCGCTAGTGCCCTTTGGTATTAACCATCATTACCAAGTCGGAGAGGACTTATAGCCATCGGTTCCCGGTCATTTACTTACAAGCATACCGTACATATGTAAAACATGTAAAACAAACAATCAAACCATATCAAGATATTATCCAATAAGAATATGTACTGAATGTTCATCAAAGTCAATAACACTGCAGTACACTTAGAAGAAGTGGGAATAGGCAAGTATACACCTGATTGCTGTAAATAATACCTTATTTTTGACCGATGATTCGTTAAACTCTCGGAATGAGAGGCAGCGTTGTTGAGGAGAGTTCAAATCGGTTGAGCCTGTAAGCTTGTCCATATCCTCTCTACTGTACGCTTTTATTGTCTTATCCTGTTGTCATATAAATATAGAATCAAACATACATGCATTGGTTAATGGTGGCATCTACCATAACATGAGCAGAGCTTTACCTCCTTTGAGACAGATACGAAATAGCAATCTGAGGTGAAAAGATTTGTTTCTTTATTTTAATCAATAAATTAGATTTTGTAGCAGTACAAGTCATGTGCATAAGGAATTACACAGCAGCAGGAAAGGGAACATTTTTCATTCCTCCTCAATGTTTCTATGAAGAATATTTTATCTTTCAAAATGTCCAATGAAACATTTATTCTAATTACTGTACCACAAAGGTATATCATCATCATCATCATCATCATCATCGTCATCATCATCGTCATCGTCATCGTCATTGTCATCGTCGTGGTCCTCGTCATCATCATCATCATCTTCTTCACCATTTATTAAAGTCACTATTCACCCTCTTACGAGGGGTTACAGGTACTGACTTTCGTGCCATGACGACACTCTCTCCCTCCCTCCATTTCTTCTTGTCTTGAGCATCCTCTTCATTTAGACGATATCAAAATGGACCCATTTGGAAAACAGCTATTAGCTAAAAAAAAGGGCAAACCAACCCATGAGTGGTGAATTAATCAATCAATCAAAAACAAATAATGGCTCATACTAAAGCAAAGTTTAAAGCCCCACTGCACTAGTTTGGCCAGGAGGGATTAGACCTCCCTGCATGGTCACTTACAGGTGGTTATCTCATCATATCAGCTCTCAATTAACATAAGAAAAAGAGGATCATGGGGGACCAATGGTCACCGATTTGGTATTGTTTGCTATACAGAGGGCGCAAGTAGCTATAAGTAGTGTAGTGGGGCTTTAAAGTAGGATCACTGATAAGAGAAGAGGTCGAGTGAGGTGACTTACCGAGTAGAGGCTGTTAAGGTATCTGGTCATGATGGTGAGGTAGGCAGCCGATTCCTTACTGTCTCTGGTATTCTTCACAAAGAAATTATCAATCACCTAATAAAAAAATTAATAAAACTAAATGATAAATATGACAACATCATTACAGTCATGATGTATGTTATCGTCGGTGGGGTGACAATACCTCGTATCTCAAAAATCATGAATTTTCAGGAGAGCGTAAAAACATTTCCTGTCTCAACAGACTTAGTGCTGTGACACCGTCCTTTGTGTGAAATTTGTGAAAAAACCGAGACAGGAGGCGTTCCATGGATTTTATCAGGTGGTGTCGTAGGCCATTAGGTACACAATTATGCAAAAAAATTAAGATACAAGGTTTTGTCACCCCACCAACATTATACTTATTGCAAGAAATCTCGAAACATTACTTTCCATTGCTAAGGACAATGATTTTCAGTATCCTTCTCTGCTATTTTATTTTATTCTGATTGGAGGCAAATATTTTTAAATAAGAGCAATATTCCTGATAAATGAGTACATATGCACAAATTTGATGTGGCTGTCCTAGTAAATGTCTCTTCTTTTAATATCAAAATCTTGACCATTCCCTTTAAGTTCATTATATCACACCATTATCTAACAGTCACTATTACAAACCCTAAGAAGCAATATACAGTCAAACCTGCTTTAGTGACCACCTGTATAGAAAGACCACCTGTCTACAAAGACCACATTTTTTGTGTCCCTTGAAAACGGTATCTCATTGAAAGATGTACTATAAAAGGAACCTGTACATAAAGACCCCCGGCCTATTAAGACCACTTTTCTTGTCTCCCTAGGGTTGTCTTTATGGACAGGTTTCACTGTACCTGTGTATTGACAACAGACTGAAGCATAGTAGCAGCTGGAAGTGACATGTGATCTGTGGAACCAAAGTCTTCCACAAGATAGACAGGGTGACCTAGACCACACTGCTTAAGACGAAACTGAAAATTAAAGAGAAGACTAACTTTGTGAGGGGAGGAAGCACAAACTTGGATTATGGACAGGTTAAAGCCCGTCTGCACTAGTTTGGCCAGGGGGATTAGAGCTCCCTGCAAGGTCACTGACAGGTGGTTATCTCATAAAATCAGTTCTCAATTAACATAAGAAAAAGAGGATCGTGGGGGACCAACAGGCACCGATCAGGCATGGTTTGCTATATAGAGGGCGCAAGTTGCTATAAGTAGTGCAGTGGGGCTTTAAATCACCCAATTATATGATAACAGGTGATTAAATCATTTGGAGTCTTGACCAAAGACTCCAAGAAGTTTATGTAGCCAAAATTGAAATGGAAAATTATATGTGTTGCAGAATAAATATCAAAGACATATTTTCAACTGGGCAATTATCTGAAATTTACACCTCTTTACATTATATTATTTCATTACTTTAGCTGGTATATCTACCACATCATACAAAAATACTGTTAAATGCAATTAATATTCCATAGAGGAGTTTTGGTAAGTTTATATACATTTCACATCCTTGAAATGTAGACGGGCCCATCTGTAATATTCCTTACTTTCATTTCATACACCACATCCATACATGACTTTCAGGCAGACTTCATCAGGTTCACACCTGACCTACCTTTTCTTCTTTGAATCTTCCATCTTGAATACTGGAGCAGAGATCGCCCATTCTCTTGCGCTCCACCACGTAATCAAGAACCACCTCCCTCTTCTCTGAAGCATTCCTGCAACAGGTTCACACCTACCTTTTCTTCTTTGAATCGTCCATCTTGGATACTGGAGCAGAGATCGTCCATTCTCTTACGCTCTACCACGTAATCAAGAACCGCCTCTCTTCTCTGAAGCATTCCCGTAACATGTTCACACCTACCTTCTGTTCTTTGAATCGTCCATCTTGGATGCTGGAGCAGAGATCGTCCATCCTCTTACGCTCTACCACGTAATCAAGAACCGCCTCTCTTCTCTGAAGCATTCCCGTAACATGTTCACACCTACCTTCTGTTCTTTGAATCGTCCATCTTGGATACTGGAGCAGAGATCGTCCATTCTCTTACGCTCCACCACGTAATCAAGAACCGCCTCTCTTCTCTGAAGCATTCCCGTAACATGTTCACACCTACCTTCTGTTCTTTGAATCGTCCATCTTGGATACTGGAGCAGAGATCGTCCATTCTCTTACGCTCCACCACGTAATCAAGAACCGCCTCTCTTCTCTGAAGCATTCCCGTAACATGTTCACACCTACCTTCTGTTCTTTGAATCGTCCATCTTGGATACTGGAGCAGAGATCGTCCATTCTCTTACGCTCCACCACGTAATCAAGAACCGCCTCTCTTCTCTGAAGCATTCCCGTAACATGTTCACACCTACCTTCTGTTCTTTGAATCGTCCATCTTGGATGCTGGAGCAGAGATCGTCCATTCTCTTGCGCTCCACCACGTAATCAAGAACCGCCTCTCTTCTCCGAGGCATCTGGAGCAATCCTGGAACAGCGCTGCCCTTCTCCCTGGCCACCCATAGGAAGTCACCGACTTGGAGCTTTCTCACGTCGAGATTCACGCCGTTCTTCTGCAACTCTTTCAGAAGGACGTGCTTCCTGCCCTTCTCCCTACACGTCAAAAAAAAACAAGGGGGTGTTTCACAAAGATCCTAAGTCGAACTTAACTCTAAGTTGGACTTAATTAAACATCATGGAGAGCCATTTGTAGCCTTAAAATATAATATATTCAAAGGCGAAATTTAAATGATTTTGGACTTTTTAGTAATTCCACATCAAGAACATGAAATCTCCTTGATACTAGAAAATATGAATGATTTGAATCAACATTTTCTGTCTTTTCATACGTGCTAATGGCTTTCCATGATTGTTATACCAAACTTAGAGAAAGGCTCAACTGAGGATCTTTGTGAAACACTCCCCAGGACATGAACATAAGATTTACTAACAAGTAGTAAAGCTGAAATAAGGGGATGAGAGAAGACATGAAAGAGGAGGGGGGCAGTGTGAAAGAGAGAGAGAGAGAGAGAGAGAGAGAGAGAGAGAGAGAGAGAGGAGGGAGAGAGGGGAATGGAGAGAGAGAGAGAGAAACAGAGACAGAGACAGACAGAGAGACAGAGCAAACAGGCATAATTAATATAACTACTTCCTAAATTAAACATAGTTATGTATTTTGCCGACATAATTCTTCACACAGGTATGAAAACCACAGCTGCTCTTGTTGAAGTTTATCATTTCACAGGGCATTGCAGCTGTGGAGTTACCAAACCTAGAAACTGTTTACTGTTGTCAGAGGGTAAGATGTTTGTCATGACTTAAAATCTATACTTGATTGAAATATGTCATTTAAAGGGATCCAGTCACTTTGTCTTAGATCCTTTAAAAAAAATCCTTGATTTAGCTCATGCTGCAATGATAATTATAAACCTTTAGGTCAGTCAGGAACCCCATAACTTTTACAAGCTGATCGCCTGTCTGATTATCAAGATATTTATGATTGAAAATCAAAATCAAATTTTGCGTTTGCCAAATGGTTTTCATAACACTACAGTCTATTGGGGAAAACGAGTATGGTAAAACCGGTCACTCAAAGGTTTTTACTTTTTTGAGGCGCTTCTTGATTTTTTAAAGCGCAAATTTTTTAGGGCTTGAATATAACACCATATCACAGACACTGATAACACGTAGGGCCGTGCATCACAGATTTAACATTGTTAAACGATCCCTTTAATAGGTATACATACTTTCCACCGATCCCTGTTGTTTCACAGTTATCCACACACAGGATGACATCAAACTGGCCGGGTCTGAGACTGAACACAGGAGTGGGTGTGGTGCTACTACCAGTCCTCTCTGATCCAGGGGCGCTTGTTGTCATATCATCTGAATCCATTCTAGGTATTTGAAGATGAAAGTTAGATTCAGTGAGAACTTTGGCATTATGAATGTAAACATCAATAAAAAAGAATGCATATTATATAAAAAGGGGAATATCCTTTTAAAATATTTACCTCGCATTAGAAGAAAAACATTTATGACAAAAATTGTATTTACCGGTACGTTTCACTGAACCATAAATTAATGCATCAGCATTATCCAATAAATTACGATGAGAAGAGAGACCTGAAAGTTAGAGTAATTAAGTTCGACTTTCACCTCACAGGCACAGGGGATATTGAACCCTTAAAAACAAATAAACAATATTCATTCAATTACATAATTGTTTTCAAGTACATATTCTTCTTCATAAGAAAAGAAACCTACCCATGTCTGCTTTTTGGCACGGCTGTGAATGAGCTACTGGTGGGATGTGTAGAAGGAACATACGATGAGTTTGTAGAAGGAACATACGATGAGTTTGTTGATCTAGAGTTTGAGTGGCTATGGGATGTCTTCTTGGATATCTCTACAGCTCCATCGTGTTCTCCGTTTGCTAAAACAGTAAAGAAAGTAGATAAAGCATTTTAAGCAGCCTGGGGGTGTTTCACAAAACTTGTCATCAGTGACAAATGACAATTTTTGTTAAAAGCTACTGAAATCCTTGCTTCTGATTGGGTATCAGCTTTAGTCTTTTGTCATTGAAAAAAGGCTTTGTTAAACCACCCCCAGGAGGGAACACAAACTGCATTTGACACAAGGACTGCAAAAGACATCTCTTCTTTTATCACGGCTCCACACTAACTTTCTGGAAGGTGGTCCGGATTGAACATTTTACAGTCTGTATGCATGAGCCCTATGTAAATATTTCCGAATTGTTGGGGCCTGGACTTGGATTTGGGGCTCCCTTGTGTCCCAGGGGCATGTTAGTGTCAAGCCCTGTCTTTTATCACCCAATCATAAAGAATGAACATTAATTTCAGGCCAAAGACACTTCAATTCAAGAGTATGATACAATGCAGAAATGTATCGGTCTTTGACGACAACTGACTTTACACACAAGGAAAATCACTGGCTAGTATTTTAGTAAGACTCTAGCTTCAATTTCAAAGAACATCTCGTATAGTGCACTCTGTGGAACGATCACTTGCAACAAATCTTATGCAGTCTTGTGAAAGCTACTTTACTGCTACTAGACACATAGAACAAAATCTTATCCACTTACTAAAATAGTAACAAAAGATGTGAATCAACATGTATATCATGTAAGGAAGTGTAAACTTAGGCAAGATATTAACCTGCACTTGCCACTCTCCACCCAGGTGTTAAATGGGTACCCGGTAGGATGCGACCGTCATTGTTGGTCAAACAGTTTATGAGCATCAAGTAACGCCTGGCTGGAATGCTCCCGAGAGAGTGGAGAATATGTACACAGTGTGTGTGGGCAAGTATTGGATCCAATGACCAGAGTAATAGTATATCTGTTAGGTGCTTTATTAGAGACATTTGTATAAGGCTCTATATAAAAGCGGAACATTATTATTATCATTATAGTCTTTGCTTCAAAGGAATGGCCTTACAATATTCTCAAGAGTACAGAAAACTTCTTTACCCGGCGGTGAGCTCTTGGATGCTGGACAAACTTCAGAGGCGTCATCATTGTGCAGGTAGGCATAGCAGGATCCTGGTGGTGCGGTCCTTCCTCTGTCGATCTTATAGCGCAACGAGCAGGACCGTAATGAGGCTTCAGAACACTTGATCAAGAAGCCAACTCCATCATCTGAAAGAGTACAAAATAAGTAGTCTCTATCACAAACTTGAATATTACCAATTGCAGATCACTGTATTTCTTACAAATATCCTACAAACTACAAATAATTATGTTTAGGCACACTGTCACTACAAAATAATATTTTTTCATCTTCAAAATTTGTCAATGTATAAATTTCTTGATGACTTGATTTTTACGGATTTTTTGTTTACTTGCTGAGTTTAAATTTATATTTGAGATTTAATCTGTATTCTTTCTGGTATTTTTACTATTCACCATGTAATGATGTTTCATGTATATGTATGTCTTTATATGTATTTTTTGTTATGCAGGGCCCCCAGGTATTTTAACTACTGATGGGGCTACCCTGTTGAAATAAAACGAAATAAATAAAAATAGAATAAAGATATAACAAAATATCAAATACTTTTTTTTTTAAAGAGAAGTTTGAGTTCTGGGAAGAGGTGAACAAATAATTTGTGAGCGTTATCATTGTGTTATGCACGTGTGGAAGAACATCAGATAAAAAATGTTCCCTGAAAAGCATAGCTCTTTAAATGCTTTAATATTCTAACTATGGCATGTAACATCATAAAAATCGGGGCAAATTTTTATGCCACATGTTCATGTAGTCTCATTTACATTTTTCTGTGTACGTTGCAAGTAACTTTACCAAGAATAGGCCAAATTTCTTATCATTTTGATGATTCCAGAACCTTGCAGTACACACCAATACTTTATATGCTAGATGATCAGCCTTTTCTGATCGATTCTACAACGTTTCTTTCTCTACGCAATCGCATGACCAGAACACAACTTTATCTTTAAATGGCATTGAGTGAAGAATGAATGCAAACTGTAGGATGAGCACTAGTGTGTGTAGGATGTATCGCTTGCGTCATAATTAAAACACCCTTCACAAAACAAATTATGCACCATAATGTCAACTATTAAATATTAAATAACTTTTTGATATGATCCTAAGCAAAGACATTGTCTCATGAAACCTACCTTCATTTAGATAGACAACACAAAAACCTCACCGACTATTTAAAGAATGCATGTAAACATAAGATAAAGATATTTCTGAATACTTGTAATTCACAGACCAGTTCGAGATTTTTCTCAACAAGAAGACCAGTGGGGTGTTTCACAAAGATCCTAAATCGAACTTAAAACTAAATTGGACTTAAATATTATGGAGAGCCATTTGTAGCCTTTAAATAAAATGTATTAAAAAGCAAAAATTGAAGTATTTTAGAATTTTCATAAATTCAACATTAAGAAAATGAAATCTCCTTGATAATAGAAAATATGAACGATTTGAATCAACATTCTATGCAATTTTAAAAAAAATTTACAAAATATTTTCAAAGGTGCTACAGGCTTTTCATAATTGTTAAGTACAACTTAGATATAAGTTCAACTTAGGATCTTTGTGAAATACCCCCCTGGAATGACACATTATAATATTGCTTCATATTCAAAAAGATAATACAATACCATTTACGGTGACAGCTGCTCTGTCTTTTAATGTCACTTCTCGCCCCCTGTCATCAATGTACCAGTAGTTGGGAATCTCAAGAGCTGATCTGCAAATACCACATTTCAAGATAAAAACATAAGAGATCGAGGGTTGATTCCAAAGAATAATATGTCGATCAGATGAATATTTTAATCTGAAAATGTGAATAGACTTACAATTAAAGTAACTACACAAAAAATCAAAAGTGTTTTGAATTGATGCAAAACTCATATCATTGCCAAGGGGAAGCCTTGCCGATCAAATACAACAACTCTTCTCTTCAAAATATGTTTGGGGCCGGCAGTAATCAACTCTCAAAAATGTTAGTTTTGAGATCCAGATTTTCTGCCTTCAGCGGTCCTTTGTAGAGCGTCAATATTTTTGACATCACATAAGGGACACGGCTGGCTAGCTGCATACTGCAACACGGCACTGGGCTGATTGTCCAGTGTGTGACTTCACTATTCAGAGCTCGCTACGCTTGTGTGTTTGACTTACAATGTACGTTCAGTGGCGTTCGGGGTCTAAGGAGGGTCTTGAAAAATTGTATTTTACGCCTTTCCATGATATCATTTCACTTGTTTTGTAAAGCGCTTAGAAACTGTACTTGTATACCAGTGCTATATAAATCTTAAATATTATTATTATTATTATTTCTCAGCAAATTGTTCGTGTTTTTCAAGAGAAAATCTTTCCATCAATATTTAATTTGTTCTAATTATGAGTTGTAAGTGAATTTTCTTTGTGTAGCTCCTTTAAACCTTGCATCCCAATATCACACATTTAAATCACATGTGTTACTGATTAATAGTCTCAATTAATCAAATCTTAAGAGAGCAAATTAATTATCATGACTTTTGAGGTCTCTAAGACATTACTTCACAGATTAAACCTACTATTTTCTGAGGTATAATCTTTGTATAAGATAAGGTAGTTCTCGACTGTGATGAAAATTAAAATCTTGTCTAAACTACAAATCAATAGCGTATTATGATAAACTAATCTGGGGGTGTTTCACAAAGATCCAAAGTCAGACTTAACTCTTAGTTGGACTTAAAAATTATGGAGAGCCATTAGTAGCCTTAAAATAAAATACATTCAAAAGCGAAAATTGAAGCATTTTAGACTTTTTATAAATTCCACATCAAGAACATAAAATGTCGTCGATAATAGAAAATATGAATGATTTGAATTAACAATTTATGCCTTTTAAAATAACTTTTACAAAAAATATTTTCATAGATGCAAACAGCTTTCCATAAATGCTAAGTCGAACTTAGAGATAAGTTCAAATTAGGATCTTTGTGAAACACCCCCCTGGTATCTTCATACCTCCTTGATGTCACCTCTGACCTCTGATCTTCCTGAGCTACCGGTATGGTGTTATCCAAGGACGCCATCCTAGGCAGATGATCTGTGATAGGGTGTTGCCCTGTGGTGGCTTCCAACTTGTGTGCCAGTTCACATCCGGACTCTGTTATCACGTACCTTGTGGTATGAACAGAAATATTATGATTGCCAAGCTAGTACATCCCAAGACCACATCAAGAAACAGTTTGTTGAATCCAAAGAACATTTATCCAGGAATGGATAGTGAACATAGCTATTCTTTTATTCATTTTTGATAATACTGATAATTAATGTGGTGTATCTGTATAATTTGTATAATTTGCCACAAGCCATTTTTAAGTCCAAGCAAACCTCTATTCTTGAAACTGAATATTCTCCCAATATCATTAATTATTACATGATTTTCAACTCTGTGTTTTTGTGTATTCATATTATCATAACCTATTACCAGAATTTGTTTGTAATATATTTCAGAGCAATAACGATATTCATAGATATGATACCAGGACTTCAGCAGAGACACGTGTAATATATCGTCATTTTTCATTTTCAAAAAGTATCTTTTTATGACAAGGACCCACTATTTGGAACTAACTACCCCCTAAACTTAAACAGTATGCATCTTTAAACAATTTTAAGCATAATCTAAAACTTCACCTGATGCAGAAAATTTGAATTTAACAAACGCAATTTTTTATGTGTGTAATTACTTTTGTGTGTGTGTTCATTTTTGGGAGCATCTTCTACTTACAAGTTTTTTTAACTTTTTTGATGATCCAACCACTTCGTAATTTCCTTCAGTGTATTTTCCATTTTATTGGTTTATCTATGTTTGCAAGAAATTATTGTATTCTTTGCCTTGGTATGTTTTTATGAAAGTGGTGAATAAATTCAATTCAATTCAATTCAACTTACATAACACGTAATAAACATAAGTACACCCAATCACCCATATATGTGTTATTTTTAAGCCCGCCTGTACTAGTTTGGCCAGGGGGATTAGACCACCCTGCAAGGTCACTGACAGGTAGTTATCTCATCAAATCAGCTCTCAATTAACATAAGAAAAAGGGGATTATGGGGGACCAAAAGGCACCGATGAGGCATTATTTGCTATACAGAGGGCGCATGTAGCTATAAGTAGTGCAGTGGGGCTTTAAATTATGATTATAACGTGATTTGAAGGACTACAATTATTAAAATCTCTACACATTTGTTAAGTATTGCAAAACCAAACTGACCTTGCTGGACTACCTTCCTTATACACGTATCCCTTGGTGACGAGGGTGCTCATAGATGACCATGCAGTATAATGACCTCCAGGATCAGGCTAGCACAGGAAAACAGCCATGTGAGTAAAAAAAAAAGTTTACACTCAGAAATTTGACATTTATTTTAAAAGTCAGCTATGAACGAAAGGTTATCATACATGTTTTGAAAGAGTGTTATAACCCAAATCGTTTAGTATCATTTTTGTGTGGTACATGTTTACGCTTGAATGAACAGGAGGCATTGTTTGCAAGAGTGAAAAAAAAAATAGACTTGCGCAAAAGTATTAAAGTGAAAGAATCAATTGAATGTATCAAATGAGATGCATCGCATATGCTTTTTGCAGAAGCAGAGTCACAATTGTGATTGATTTGGATTCATCGCTGCTCTTTACAAGACGGGGCCCTGAACGTGAATGTAGCCAACCGAGCGAACTTCCTATGGATAGTCAATCCACAGGCAACGTGATGACTATCCTTGATAAGATACTCACCATCTTCATAGATTTGTCACACAACGGTTGAGCTGCATCTTGTAACTCAGTTTTGTGCATGAATCCCTTACTTCCTGGCCTCTGTGATTCAAACAAACAGAGTGCCATCAACAAAGGGCTAACATCATCTCAACTATCTTGTCATTTGTTTTGTTTTTCATTAAAAGGATGAATAATTGTGTCTTATAATGAATTGGTATTGACTTACAAATTCTACATGTTATATAAATTCTCTACCACTGCACCCCTATAATCACTGACTTTCCATTTGAACAATGTAGAAAACATCAAAAAATTTAACTAAAAGATGGTCCAATTAAATCATCTCATTTCCCCATTAATCTATTAATTTGGTTTTGATACTACATACAGAAGATAATTTTAATTTAAATAAGATATTCAAAAGTCCTTTCTAATAAGGAACAACATGTGAGAATGATATTCTGGGGCCCATTTCACAAAGCCTTTTTTCAATGACAAATGACAAAAATCAGTGACAAATCTGCTGATAACCAATCAGAAGCAAGGATTTCAGTAGCTTATAACAATTTGTCATTTGTCACTGATGACAAGTTTTGTGCAACGCACCCCTGGTGGTACTTACTGTGTGGTTTCTGTAGAGTGTGAGAATCAAGCTGTACGGACCAGACCTGTCGAGGGGTATGTACTCCCTGACTCGCTTAGTAGCACTTCTGGGAGACGCTTGCTGCGAGAAGATAAAAAGAGCCGACTGAATCTCAATCTCATATCATACACGTTAATAATATAATAATAATAATAATAATACAGCATTTATTATGCGCCATCGATCTAGTAAACTATTCTGAGGCGCAAAGGGATAGAATTAGAATGAGATACATAGAGAAATGAGAAGGGGGGGGAAAAAAAAAAAAATAGTCTCTAATACAAACATCACAGGCAGCTGGATGTTGACTATCAAGACTACACCCAACCTAAAACGACCAGAGATAGAAGAGGGTATAATAGGCAATTTCAACCAACCCACTCAAGAACAGTCACATTCGCGAACTCCTACTTCATGAGAACAGTGCGTGATTGGAACCAGCTTAAAGATGAAGTTGAGTTCTGGTAATGCGATTGCATTGTGAAAGAAACGGTGTGGAATCGACCATAAAAGGTTGATCATCTAGCATATAAGAATTTGTGTGTATTGCAAGGTTCTGGAATCATCCAAATGATAAGAAATTGGCCTAGTCTTGGTACAGTTACAAACACTGGACACAGAAAGATGTATATGGGACTACACGAACACGTGGCTTAAAAAACCTACCCCCCCCCCCCCCCCCCCCCCGAGTTTTACGATGTACATGACATATTTAGAATATGAAGGCATTTGAAGAGTCATGCTTTTCAGGGAACAATCCTTATCTGATGTTCTTCCACACTTGCATAATGAGAATGATGACGCTCACAACTTATTTTTCACCTCTTCCCAGAACTCAACCTTCTCTTTAAACCGGAGACTATCGCTCACACTGACCCTGTCAAATCCAAAATAGCCCTGATGTCCCCCCCCCCCCCCCCCCCCCCATCTACAAATTTATCCACTCATCCGCAACTCCAGTTAAATCTCATTTTGGAGGACCAACCAACTAAGTACCAAGTACATTGGACTGGAGGTGCCATAGCTGAGTGGTTTGAGCACTTGACATCGATGTGAAGGTCGATGGTTTGTGCTTGGGAAAGACATTAATGTCCTTTTGACACTCTTCACCCAGGAATAGTACATGGGTACCTGATTAGATTTATTTCATGTGATTAATGATTTGCAACACAGCAGCAGGAGCATAAACAGAGAATCAAAGAATCAAAGTAATATGTAAGATTTATTCCAAAACAAGGGAAACGCTCTCGGCGGTCTCGCCTGCATAACGCAATTCAATATGATAAACCAGAACGTCAATGACGTAGCGCTCATCCGCATCTCGCAACAACAAATATCTTAAATTTTATGTGGTACACTTTTGAACTGGTCAAAAAATAAAAATTTGATGCCCTGGAAGGGACATAATCTCATTTCATTTGCATAAAGTACCATAAATAATCAATGGAGCAAAATCTCACAATTCTGTGTAGAAGTTTAGTGTTCCAAATTTAGCTCTACCAGATAAGGCAAACCAAATCAAAATCGGTCAAGAAATGAGGGAAAAGAAGCAATTTTTGTTATTTTTGGAATTAATTTGCATAAATTACCATAATTAATTAATGGAGAACAATTTCAAAATTCTGTGTAGAAGTTTAGTGTACCAAAGTTAGCTCTACGATATAAAGCAAACCAAATCATAATCGGTCGAGAAATGAAGGAGAGGAAGCCTTTTTTGTGATTTCGAATAAATTTGCATAAATTAGCATAGATAATGAATTTCACGATTCTGTGTAGAAATTTTAAACCCCACTCCTAGCCCTATCATATGAAACAATCAGAATCAAAATCGGTTGAAAAATAACGAAGAAGAAGCATTTTGAAAATCTTGATGTTGATGCCACAACAAAGTCTAAGTTTGTTGACCTTAAATGACCTTTGACCTTAATCTAGTGACCTGAAATTCTACTCACATGATTGGGGAGACTTGATAACCCTATAGTCCAAGTTTCATTGACTAAGAACTTATACTTTCAAAATTATATCAAAAATTCAAAAACTTAACCTTAGGTTAAGTTTTCGATGATGATGCTACAACATAGTCCAAGTCTGTTGACCTGAAATGACCTTTGACCTTGACTTTGTGATCTGAAATTCTACTCACATGATTGGGGATACTTGATTACCCTATAGTCAAAGTTTCATTGACTAAGAACCTATACTTTAAAAATTATATCAAAAATTCAAAAACTTAACCTTAGGTTAAGTTTTTGATGTTGACGCCGTCGCCGCCGCCGTCGCCGTCACCGGAAAAGCGGCGCCTATGTCTCGCTTTTTGCTACGCAGGCGAGACAAAAATGATGGCCTCTAAGTCGGTTTCACTGACCTTCCTTTTCCTTGTGCTCCCATTCATGGTTTCATTGAATTGCATCCCCACAGGAGAACACACAGCTATTTCGTCACTGTCATCATCTACATCAACCGCTGTTGAGGAACTTTCAGCTGGATGTGGGAAAACGGTACATCAATCAAATATGCCCTCAGTATTTTCAATAAATTGTGCAAAATGTTAAAGACTACATGTGCATTACAGAGAATCTTTTTTTAAGCTCAGACTATAGCTTATGAGTTACAACATAAACATTGAGAGCAGATTAAGATATTTGATAAAGACCTTCCTTCTCATTAAAAATCTAAAAGCAATCTTTAAATCATATAAAAAGTAAGCTATGTGAGTAGGATTGACACATGAGTGCAAAATTAGCAAAACAAAATTCTTTGTTTTCCAAATTTCTGTCATTTTCAAATGATTGAATTTTCAATGTTGAATGTTTTTGTATCCAAATATAAAATACAATACAGAAATGACTTTCTCATTTTAATACATGGGAGTTGACATTTCAATACACAGCATAAACATTTCAATTAGGAAGTGAAACAAAAGCTACAGCTAACTATTACTAACACCGAAGCTAATATGTACCTTCGTTTGCTAAATGTTCTTCCAACTTCTTATCCAGCATGCTGCAAATTTTGTCTCCAAAGTTGTCCAGGATCTTCGCAGCTTTGCCAGACTGGAACGGAAGAGGGTACTTCTTCAGTGCAACCAACGCCTATTAAAAACATTAGATATTTCAATAAACGAGACAGGAAAAATCAATAAAGTTCCTCGCACAACCAATTGAAGAAATGTCACACAAGTACCAAGGCCCATTTAGTTCACTGAAGTGAAAGTTATGCTGTTGTATTTATTATGTTATATTTGTCATCATTCTTTTTGTCATGATTGTCATGGAACCTGGCATGGATGTCTTGTTGTTACCATCTTTGTTGCATTTGTCTACAGAATTTATTTCAGAGCTATTTTTCAGTTTACCACTCATCACTTCTAAAAAAAAAGGCTTTAAGACAGACTAACAGGGCAAAAGGAAAACTGTTTAGATCGCCAGCTATACCACTGCATTAATTTGAGTAGCCACATACCCAATTCAAGAAACTGAGAGAACTCATCACACTGAACATCAGCATTTGAATCTGAGATACTTGAATTTAATCAGGCCTCTCGCCAAGAAATTAAAAACGCGTGGCGCGACCAGAGGTAAAATTTGACCCCCCCCCCCCCCCCAAAAAAAAAAAAAAAATGATTTTTTTTTTTTTTTTTTTTTTTTTTTTGATTATTTATTTTTTACAAGTATTACAAGTAATTTGATGAATTTTTATCATGGAATTATATTCCAGTTCATTGTCATATTTACCCTTGCACTAAAATAATCTAAATTATCAATGTTATTCTATCTGTCTATGTTTGAATTTGTGAAATTTGTTATCCAATGTTACGAAGAAAACAAAATGAGAATGATCCTAGTTGTTTGGATTTTTTAAAGCTGTAATTATTTTCCTTATATTAAAAACAATATTGCATTTTCTTATTTTCACAAAAATTGCAGTACTCAAATTTCTGCAAGTCTTTTACTTTATATTCGAGTAAAATAAATTCTCTGTCTCAAAATGAAATTTATACACCCGTCAATGAAAGTTTGATTTGACACACACACACAGACTAGGCCGCTGCACTAAGCTTTGTGCAAACAATACCATACCTGCCAACCCTTACGAATAATTCAGAATATTCTGGGGTTTTTTTATTTCTAGGTCCTGAAAATCCGGAATAGTCTATTCTGATTTTTCAAAATTTCAATTTTTTTTTTTTTTTTTTCTTTTAAAAAATGTGTGGTGCTAGGTCGGGACGATCAGGAATGCGTGGCGCGTGCGCCACGCGTTATCTGTGTACGCGAGGGCCTTGAATTTAATCACGATAAAAACAGAATACCTACAATCAATTCAACTCACTAATACTGGAAAATACTAAAAACAATCAAGCAAGCAATTCACTACCGGTAGATTAAATACTGGCAAATTCATTTGTTTGTTTGTTTTGACTGCTAAGAAAGCATGTATGGTAAATGCATGTAAACAACAAGGGGACCAATGATTCAAAGGGGAAGTCCAACCTGATAATAAGTTGGTTTTAAGAGTAGCAGAAAAATGAGGGGAACAAGTAGTGAAAGCTTGAGTAAATTCTGATGGTAATTTTTTTTTTAAATAAAAAAAACAACAATTTATATTTCCCCATTAGAGTCTACTCATTTATTAGATTTAGAGTCTAGATCTAGAACATTTACAATCGTTCATTCACCCAGCTAATTAGACCGAAAACTTCAGTCTCTCTAATCGTCGGTTGTTCCACTGAGACTACGTCTGGCTCCACTAGACCTCCGATTATAGAGACTGAAGATTGTCCTATCGGGACTGTACGGAACCAATGGTTCGGTTCGGCAGGACCGCGATGAATGAGATATGCTACGAGATTTTCACTCTTTACATCCTCACACATGCTGCAATATGACAATAATTAGAGTCTAATTAAAAATAACATATATATAGCTTATTTGACTTACGATAGCTTGCTCATTTAGATCCTAAATTAATGATTAATCCGAGAAAGTCTCGTCGTCAACATTATCCGTCTTGCTTTTAGTTGATGAATATTAATTTTTTCTTTTCGAACGTCCAATAGCTACCGTAGCTACATACGAGTCGGCCCGGCTTGACCAACGAACTCCCACGAAACGAGTGCTCTGATTGGCCATTGGCTATGTTTTGGTAGGTGGACCCGGAAATATATCGGCCGCCGGGTAATATTTCGAATGCATGAACGTACTGCTTCGCGGTTCTGAGGTACAAATTGGATAATTCATATAAGTAAGTCCGTAAATTATTTATTTAATATTAAGTTATCAAATTTTGAAACTGTAATTAGGACAAATGACATACCGACCTAATTTACATCTGATTTAGAAATCAGAAAATTAGATCTAAATAAAGAAAATCGGGGGAGAAATGTCGGAAACGAAAAGCTGTTCCGCTGTGGCTCTAATTTACCCGCACGGTACGAGATCTCTGGGTTGCCATCTGTATTGGGGAATGACAACAAATGTCAGTTTTATTAAAGAAATGACCCAAATCAGATGGTTATTGCTGTCTACCAGCTAATATGATTATGGCGAATGTTTTGTTTTTAATTATAGTCTAGATCTACTTCATGTAGACCTACCCTTGAATAAAACAAATCCATTCCATCATCATCTAAACAAATAAAAGTTAATGAAATTTTCTGTACAGAGCAAAATAAAGAGGAGCTCACAATATACATCAATGTTGCCAAATCATCAAATCAAATGTTGTTTGAACAAAGTGATGGCAACTTCAACAATTTTTTCTTTCTTTTTCAATCATTATCTGGATATTGCTCAGACTTTTACCATTTCCCTACTTTTATTAAAAACAACTTAGGGTGTATGTTCATTAAGTTTATAATTTAAAAAAATTCTCTCTCAAAAGTTTTTCTTTCTTTGATATTGATTTGTTTAGATCTAGATCTAGATCTAGATCTATCTTGTTTTATTCAGTCGTGCACAGCTCAGCTCAGGCAGCACAAATTACATCAGATGGGACTGTACTGTAGTGTTATTTGTTGACTTTTCGTATTCTTACCTTGCCGTACGCATATTGGGTTTTGATCCCTTTTTCGGCGGCTGCATCTCGCCATTCAGTCAGCCACTGGACGAAAAGAGGGTTGGGGCAAAATTTCACCTTCTTCTTTCTCTTCAATTTGGGTGCAGCACTCATTTTTGTTAGAGAAGTTCTCGTTTCAATTTCCGCGCGCTCGATTAAAGTTTGTTGCTAGCCGAGTCGAGTCAAGGGTAAAGTTGAGACGACAAAGTAAAAAAGAAAAAAAAAAAGATGTGAGGTACCCATAGAGATATATCTTCTTATTAAAGGGAGGCTTTACTACTTCAGCAAGAAGGAATTAGACCACCCAGTAAGCCATCGAGGTCACTGTGACAGGTGGCTATCTCATTAACTCAGCTCTCATTTAACATAAGAAAAAGAGGATCATGGGGGACCAACAGGCACCGATTTGGGAAGTTTTCTATATAGAGGGAGCAAGTAGCTACAAGTAGGACAGTGTGCCTCTAAGTATATATCTCTATGGAGGTACCCAAAATGCACCTCAATGTATAAAACTCCCCTACAGAAAATGCAATATCCTCATGTGTTTCACTCATTGAATCAATTTGTTGTTTACACTCAAGATTGCCACAACTGTACTGGTGTCACCAAATGTTTTGTTACTCTAAAATTCAGTCTCTCTGAAATGTTATGGCCTGTTGAATGGTTTCTCGGAAAAACGTCATAAATCCTCAAATCTGACATCTTTTAAAAAGAAAAATATACTGTGATGTAGCTGAAAGTCTGCAGATTCCATAGAGCTATATACTACTAAGTCTTATTAATATGTATCTCTATGGCAGATTCTTATCATTTGATCGGTTTTTTTGAATAATTTGTGAAACACATGAGGAAATAGCTGTGACGGTGATCCAAGTAATTTTCATCGCCATATATTATTGGCATTGCAAAAATATTTGGAATTTAATGTTAATATTTGGTGTAAATATGATCTATAAATATATGATTTAAAAAATGCCAACAAAATGAACAGTTTGACTTTTCTATGATTAGCTGAATTGACCTAATTTGCATATTTGCAGTGAGCACCCCCGCCCCTCCCTTGAGCGCCAGGGGAAGGGGCCCATCTCCAAAAAAAGGTAAAATTAACGTGTTTTTACCTGGTTTTTTTTCAGGGATGAGGGCCCGGGCTCCCCGCCCCCTGGATCCGCCACTGGTATTCTGTCAGTCATAACAAACGTCTTTAAAGGGTTTAGATTGTAGGTCTCCCCGCGTTGCTTTCATGCATTATATATACATTTTATTAGGATCTTGTTGACTTGTGCGCCCCCAAAACAGGATAAAGAGCATAGGTCAGTTAGCATAGCCAAGGTTCAACATTCGAGAGGCAAAAAGTCATGAATTGTAATGCCTTGCTGAATCATAAATACACAACATAATTCATTAAATTTGCGCCCTAAAGATGAAAGAAGTCAGCTGGTGTGGGCTTTAAAAAAAGTATAGATAGAGCGTAATTAACACTTTTGCTAACACATAAAAAAAAAAGTTAACCAAAGTAAAATGCGCAAGAAGCCGTTTTTAGGGTACAGCAAGGTTATACCGCTTGATCACTTCGCTCCAACAATTTAGTTTATACTTATAGCTATTCCCAGTTTGGTTACCAATTTCGGGGGTAGTACAATTATGACGGTGTGAAAATGCGATGAATTTCTGGTTCTCATTTTGAGCCGACAGGTTTAGATAGGGGCGCAATTTTGTTGTTTGCCCTAGTGTCCCTTTATAGAATAAAGGCCGGACAGGCCTTAAACCTGAAATATCACTTTTCCTAATACATCGGTTCTAATAATATGATTCGTTGTACCATTCTCGACTCTTAATCCTTGTCTGGATTGAATTAAACCTCCCTGCCCCCCCCCCCCCTTCCCGCGCGAAGCGCGGAAGCTTTGACGTTTCATTAAAATTAGTAGATGGGGGCGCAATTTTTTTGTTTGCCCTAGTGTCCCTTTATATAATAAAGGCCGGACAGGCCTTAAACCTGAAATATCACTTTTCCTAATACATCGGTTCTAATAATATCATTCGTTGTACCATTCTCGACTCTTAATCCTTGTCTGGATTGAGTTAAACCTCCCCCCCCCCCCCTTCCCGCGCGAAGCGCGGAAGCTTTGACGTTTCATTAAAATTAGTAGAGAAAGAAGACGATTCGCTGTACCGTTCTCGATTCTTAATCCTTATCTGAATTCAGTCCCCCCCCCCCCTCCCGCGCGAAGCACGGAAGCTTTGATGTTTCATTGAAATTAGTAGAGAAAGAAGACGATTCGCTGTACCGTTCTCGATTATTAACCCTTGTCTGAATTCAGTCCCCCCCCCCCCCTCCCGCGCGAAGCGCAGAAGCTTTAACATTTCATTAAAATTATTAGAGAAAGAAGACAATTCGCTGTACCGTTCTCGACTCTTAATCCGTGTCTGAATTTCAAAAAATGTTCTTTGTCTGCACCTTTTTATACGTCCTCTCCCTTTTCTCTACTCTCTTTTTTTTAATTTTTAATTTTTTTTATTTGGCCGGCGTTTTTTGAGGAACCGCCCCTCCGCCCCCCGCCCCCTGGCTACGCGCCTGTGGTCATATGAACATATTTTGATAACTTGTCCGCCCCCGGAAGCACAGGGGTTTAAGGCAATAAATTACCGTCAGATGAGCATATACCTTTAAAGGTTTTAGGCATTTAATCACGGTCTGATGAGCATATTTTGATACCTCATTATTTTGTGTCACTGGCAGCTAACTATTCTTTCTTTCTTGCACTCTTTCTTTCTATTTTTCTTTAATATACTTTTTCAAAAAAAAGTGAGGGGGGGGGGGGGTGGGGAGGGAGCTCGAGACTCCCGATCCCCGTCGTTCCGCGGGCCCTGACATGTAGGCATCTCAAGAAGCATATTTCTTGCCTGGCCTTAAATTTAGGAATTTGTCATTTTCCAACTAATGCATACAAAGTATAATTAACATAAAAGTGAGGAAAAATCTCGGAATTTTTTTGTCACTTTAGCATTATTTGTAAACTATCGTTATAGAATTAGAAATACCCCCCTCCCCCCAATTACACCTTGTTGGCGGGAAGAATCGCAACTGATCTCCCCTACATTTCTTTTTTTTCTTTCCCTTGCTCTTCTCTTTCCCTTTCCTTCCTTCTCTCTCTTTTAGGTTTGCTGGGGGGGGGGGGGGAGGCAATGGCCTTTTGGCCCCCTTCCCGCTCCACACGTTGTTGGCGGGAATAACCGCAACTGATCTTCCCTTCTTTTCACCCTTTTATTTTCTTCTTCCTCTTTTTGTTTCATATTTGCTCTCCTCCTTCCCTTTTCCTTCCTTTTCTCTCTTTTTTTTTAGCGGGGGCGGGGCATTGGCCTTTTGACCCCTCCGATCCACAACTTGTTGGCGGGAAAATTGCAACTGATTCCCTGCTTTTCTTTTCTTCCCCTTTCCTTTATCTCTTCTTTTCCCTTTCCTTCTTTCTCTCTATTTAATTTGATTGGGGGGGGGGGGGGTAGGAGACAAGGGCCTTTCGGCCCCCGATCTCTTTTCCCCCTTTTCTTTCATTCTTCCTCTTCTTTCTTTCCCTTTCTCTCCTCTTTCCCTTTCTCTTCTTTTCCTTCTCTCTATCTCTCTTTTTGCGGGGGGGGGGGGGGGCAAGGCCCGCTCGCCCCCTGGATCCGCGCCTGGAAAAACCCTTAGTTTAACGTCAGTACAGACAGTAGATTGAACTGAGTATAACAAAAGGTGGGGGGAGGGGGGGGGGTGTTACTGGTAATATTCTCATCTGCAATATAATTATAGCCTGCACCCGAAATGATGGAGTAGACATAGAATTCATTTTACCCGGGGCTTTGGGGTTAAGCTTTGGTATCACTTTGTCTTTTTTACGTATTATTTTATTAATCAGTATTTGCTGATGTAATGATAATGGATTTTGATCTCTTTCTATAATAAATATATATATTTTTTTATTTTCTGTTTTCTAGCAAGGTCTGTCATTAACCCAAACTACTCTGATATTTAAATCTTGTTAGGAGATCACTTTAAAAAAAATATTGTATTCAATTCATCTTAACTCTTTAATTCAATGAATGGAAATTTTGTTCTATGCATATTTCATTTGTATGCATGAATCATAATACTGAAAATGGGTAATACAGTCAATACAAATAGTTACGTGCGTACATGTTTCACATTGAAAATGCAATGATGAACATGATTTGTAATGTTTTAATCGTTTTATATATTATGCTTTTAACTAAAGTAAGCTTTACCTGAGAGAAATCCTTTTTTGCGAGAAGACAATTTAAATTTGTTTTAGTTTGTTCATATATTTTGTTGACAGATAGGTAAACTGCATGAGACAAAGTAGATTTATGTTATGTTACCGGTATTTAATTGGTCTACATTTCTTGTAGTTTTTTTTATTAGCGATATTTATTCTTTAAAGTGTTGTTACCTCTAAACAGTCATGGCAGAGTACACCAGTGAAATTCACAATGCAGTTTACGTGTGATGTATATTGCAAGACATACATAGAAAAGGTCTTACGTCGCACCAAGAGGTAACTTCTTTGTCGCACCAAGAAGTTACTAGCTTGGTCGCACTCCTTGATCATATATAATATAAGGACAGACAAAAACCCTTTGGCCCGAATTCACAAAGGAGGTTTGTCGACACACCTCGGTTTGTCGACAAACCTCCTTTTGTTTCGACAAACCTCCTTTTGTTATTTACAAACCAGGTTTGTAAAAAAACGCGTCAAAACGCGTCGACGTACATTAACCTCGGTTTGTCGACAAACCTCCTTTGTGAATTCGGGCCTTTGAGTTTGATCAGTGAAGAAAGGGAATTAGACTTATAGATTGCTATGGCAGTATGGCTATGACAACCACTGCAGTGATTCAGAAATAGACGTACTTAGGCCTACTTTACATGACAAATATAGGCGACCACGGTCACAATACAAAAAGTAGACAATAATACCCCAAAAGAAGTGAGAGATCCGGGGGTACATAAAATAATACAACAGGATGAGCTGCATGCATGCATGATTGTGCATGGGGTTGAGAAATAGGAGACGATCGAGGAAGGAGATAAACATTAGATGTATACATCTGGTTTTATGATTGGTTTCTCTACATGTGCCAGGTTATAAGGAGCTAGAGTACCCATGGATTGTTCAATGCAATCAGGGGTCCTTGAACTCTCAGGCTAAAGCTCATGACCAGACAGGGGTTAGCATCGTCGTTCCGCAAACAAGAGCCGAATCGGATAGCAACTCAATTAATCCTCGTCGCACAGAATCTCGACGTAACTATACCTGATTTTGAGACTGTGAGGAAATATAGCACAAAGGTTGAATCATGAATTTCTGATCGATGCCAGAAGTATATAGAAGTAAAGTGAAATTCATCATCAAGATAATACAATGTTGCAGCCTCGAGTCTAGCTATAGGATTGACACGCAGTTGAGATGCTGGGGAGACGGAGCAAAATTACCCTCGTTGCCTTTGGTGGTGTTTGTGTCACAATCCTTTTATTTGTTTGGAGTAAAAGCAAAATCGAAGGTCAGTCTTTGACGAGAGCTGAGATTTCACAACATCAAGGTAACGACCATGTAATAATCTATTTCGATTAATTAATTCAGAACTTTATTTCAGACTCATCTACACAGGGCAGAGGTCCATAAAACATTATTTACATAGATATATAGGGAGTATAAACATGATGAGTATAATAACAAATCTTACAAAGAGTATATATACTAGGCCTACGTACAAACAATCTAAACTCTAAGAGTAACATGTAACCTGCATACATGTATGTAAGGTTGATAACAGCATAACAATCTAATTCTAAGCTGTACCTGTAACTGTAAGATTAAAATAAGTACATGTATAACAACCAATAACAATCTATTGAAGTGGTATCTTGGCAGATGTAAATAATTCTGTCGCATATAATGTCAAATTACCAGGGAGATACATCTCCCTGTCAAACATTTATGATAGACCGATATAGATACAGGGGGTAGAGTCAACGTAATGTCTGATTACAAATGTATTATGCCAACATTTCTTTTATCATCATCATCATCTACACGGGAGTGTAGGATATCCTGTAGGTTTCCCGGTCATGATCACTTGCTACATTAGTAAATCACTAATGAGATCACTTGGTACATTAGTAAAGGTCTACATCAGTGCATGCGAGGATGTCAGACTATGCTATAACAAAATGTTTGTCTGACCAAAAAGAATTAATCCAAGCTGTGTTTAAATGAGTTGATGCTGGTAGCAGTTACTAGAGACTCTGGTAAACATGGCTGTTCCAAGACTGGATGACCCGTTTGCTAAAAGAGTTACTCCCGACATTCAATCGACAGCGAGTAGTGAATAATTTCAATGAATGGCCTCTTGTTCTCTGATACTGTGATTTCACAAAAAAAAACAATCTGGATCAAGTCTATCTATACCGTGAAATATCTTGAAAACTTTAAACGACAAATAAGACTAAGGATATTGAATGCAAATATGCAATAAATAAATGCAATCTTATTCTAGGTTTGTTTCATGCTTGATTTGTACATGTAGTCGGCTCTTGTGCTTGATCTTGGCTCCCGATCAACAATATGGCAGACTGCATGCATGCTGCGCTACGTCAATGACCTTTTCTGACCTCGCTTTTTACTTCTCCGTCTTATACCAATCATGTCAATCTATCCCACAGAGACATACTTTCTTTCAGCCATAATAATAGCCTGATATTCGTTTCAAAGAATTTTAAAGGTAAAGACCAGTTATGGTCATGCGATTGCATTGTGAAAGAAACGTTGTGGAATCGATCAGAAAAGGTTGATCATCTAGCATCTAGCATCTGCAAGGTAAGTGGAATCATCAAAATGATAAGAAATTTGGCCCATTCTTCGTAAAGTTACAAACACTATACACAGAAAGATGTATATGGGACTACCCTATATCTCTCACAGACCATGAGAGAAACAAATTTACCAAATATATGAATTAATAGGCGGTTTCCCAGCAAATTTTTTATCATCATGTATTAGTCAAAAACATATTCTTTCACATGATTGGTAATGAGAGCTTCCATTTCAGTTTTTGAAATTGGGGCGTTTCCAAAACTGGTCTTTACCTTTAAGCGAGATCTATATACTAGGTGTAAAAATGATACTAACGATGAGTCGGCCATATTAACTCTATATCCCCCTTTTCTTCTCATCGGTTTTCCAGTAAACCTATCTTAGCTATAGTCGCATATTAAAAATAAAAATAAAGAAGAAAGTTGTAATCAAGGTTATAGGCCTCTAAAAACTTTGTACGCTTCATTCCAGAAACAGAAAAGCGTGGTCACTTTTCTTAATGTGCATCTCTCTCTCTCTGCACTTGATATGCATGAGTGAGAGAGAATTTTGCCATGATTTCAGCATATTCTTTATAAGTTTAATTATAAGAGGGTAATAATAATAAATTAAAAGATAGAGAGAGAGAGAGTCAAGTTAGACGAAGAGAGAGAAATAAAAAGAGAGAAAACACAGAAAACACAGAAAACACAGACAGGCAGGGCAAGAGAGAGAGAGAGAGAGAGAGAGAGGAGGGGGTGTGCGTGTGTGTGTGTGTGGGGATATTAAATGGCATCAAATGTATTTTTGAATTTATTGCACAGTTTACAAACACACACGCATACACACACAAATAATTGTTTAAAAAAACATGATATAAAATATGAATGCCTATCTGACTATCACATTCCTTTTTTTTAATTTTTTATATGATTCCAGTCAGGCAGAAACTGATCAGAGGGAAATATAAAAGGAACAAATATGACTACACATCTCAGTCCAAATCTGTAAGTATACTTTGATGAGTCAATTCAAAACTTTAAAAATAAAATTGTCACTGACATCTATAATTTTTCATATTGAAATATAAACTATGCATATCATGAACATGATGTACAGGTTCGTATAGAAACCTTGAACGTTGAATGTGGAAATAGATTGAATAATTTAACGTGACGAGTAAAGTCGAGGGGAAAAGAAAAACGGGACATCCTCTTGACTTCATTTTACAGATACAACGAAAATAAAGACAAAATAAAAAAAACCCCGTTAAAGTGACATAAATGGATGATGGCGCATCCATGGATCAATAATCCAAGTAAATTTAAGAATTGGCGTTCGTCTGCTCCTCAAGTCTAGAAGATACACCACCCAAAACTGTATTATGCTGATGCAATAATGAGAAATGTAGCAAAATGTTCGGGTTTGAAATAACTGCTTAGTAGGAGCTCATCCGTATCAAGACAATTAGCCCCTGGACAATCACCCCCCCCCCCCCCCGAAAAAAAAAAAAAATTCCCCCACCCTTGAAAATACCCCCTATTTTTACCCCGGTCCCAACCAAGGAAAACCACCCCGAGTACAATTACCCCCCACCTCCAAAAATCATCCCTGCCCCTTTTCGTTAAAGGGGAAATTCGAACCTGATAATTAAGTTGGTTTTAATAAAAGCTGATTTGTTTTCTTCTTCGTCCTAGGGGGGTAATTTTCCGGAGGGTCATTGTCCTCGGGGGATAATTCTCCGGGGGGGGGGGGGGGTAATTTTCCGGGGGTAATTGTCCTTTGGGGAGGGGTAGTTTTTCGGGGGTGATTTCCAAGGGGGTTATTGTCCTTCAACCGAGCTCATCCAAGATCTCCTAATCTATACAAATACCCAGTATTTTTTTCCTTCTTTTTCTTCCAAGCATTCTATCTACAGCAGCCAGGTCGAAGCAGACCGTCAACACTTCGGCATTCTCCAGGAACGCCTTGCTAGGTTGAAAGAACATTGTAATCTGGTGCAAAGCCCTGACTCAAAAAAACGAGACGTGGCCAAACATCCACCAGATAACCTTGTAGTCAATGAAGAGCACCGTATCATATATTGCAACGTACCCAAAGTGGGTTGCACCAACTGGAAGTCAGTTTTCTTGAAGTTAGCAGGGTTTGATCAATTCAACATTTCAGCTCTAGATCATCTCGGTCCGAATGCCAAAGGCAGACTTTACCTCGATTATCTCCACAAGTACCCCAATGTAAGTCAACGGCGGTTCATGCTACAGAACTACACCAAAATCGTTTTTGCGAGGCATCCATTTACTCGGCTCCTTTCGGCTTTCCGAAGCAAACTTGCACCAAATATATCCTTCTATTTCCACCCCTTATTATTAGGAGATGAGAGATTGAGAGACCAGTGGTTTAAAAAATATGGACGACAAATTATCGAGAGGTACCGTGGCAAAGCCGAGGCTAATCGTGTCAGTTCAAACTGGAGTCGAGAGTACGATCTAACGTTTTCAGAATTCATTCGTTTCTTGGTAGATCCTTACACAGATTCCTACAACAAACACTGGTCTGATATTCATTCTATGTGTCTACCTTGTGACATCGACTATGACGTCATCGGGAAATACGAAACTATGACCGAGGATGCTGAATATGTTCTCCGATTAGCCAACGTGGATCCAAAAATCAGATTTCCCACACCAGATCCGACGACAATGACCAATAGTTCAGATGGAAAACTTGTCGATGGTTACTACAAAGAAGTACCAAAGTTGTTGTTGTATCAACTGGCCAAACTCTATGATATAGATTTTGAATTATTTGGTTATGATCCTGTGCCATTTCTAAACATCTGATTTAATTCATGAAGGAACAATTCTGTCTTCCTCTTCGCTTTGTGAGACATTTATTCGAGTGTAATGATAAGGGTTAAAAACGAAAATTGAGAGAAGGGGATTAGTTATACCGGAGTGTTGGCTCAGTCAATAGAGCGTCTGCCTCACAACCGGGAGGTGGTGGGTTCGAACCCCTGCCGCGTCATACCAAAAGATGGGAGTTGTTGCTACCTTGTTTGGCGTTCAACAATTAAGGGATAGAGCAACGTCGATCTGGCGCTGCTCAGTGGCTGCCAGGCTCACAATCAATTGGGCAAAAAGAATTTCTGTTTCGGTTTAATAAAATTTGGAGTGGACTATTAGGCTATTATTATTATTATTATTATTATTATTATTATTATTGACCTCCTTCACATGCAGACAATAGATTTTTACGAGACAGCTCCTGACAATTGACATTTATGATCATCAACCACAATTATGGATGATTGTTGATATAAGCCACTATTAAAACCAATCTATAGCATAGGATACAAAATGTCATTATTCATAGGGTTGGATTTCTAGCATCTGAAGGAAGGATATATGCTTGGGAATACAAGAAAAAGTAAAATTGATTTTAATTCCTGTTACAAATCGGTCTTTTGATGCAGAATAATAATTGTCATCCACATTGGTATATGGCCACAGCACTATATAGACCTGATTATGTACATCTGTCCCTTTAATCTTTGGCTATATACTCAGTGATATATTTAGATTGAAATGAAGACAGACAGAAAAGAGTCGTAATCAAAGAACATTCCTCTCCAGAGAGACAGAGAGAGAATGGAAGGGAGAGAGCAAGAGAGAGAGAGAGCGAGAGAGAGAGAATGGAAGGGAGAGAGAGAGAGAGGGCGGGAATGGAAGGGAGAGAGAGAGAGTAAAAGAGAGAGAATGTGTAGGAACTGAGGCAGGTGTTTGTATGGGACCGATTTAGTTTGAAAGCAAAGACAACAAGATCATATAAACATGTATTTGTTAAGAAAATGCCTATAAAATCAAATCAAATAAACAAAACTGTACAAAAATGTGTTTCCAATATTTGTTCATCAAGATTAATGAATATCACAATTAATCTACATCAGTAAAATACACCTCTCAATTTTCAACAACTAAAAACAGCACTAGGACACAAATTCTGGCTTAGATAGAAGTTCCAAGATGTATTTACAGAGTATAATACATTTATTACACGGTTGTTTATAAAAAGCCACACATGACGGTTGTTTCAATATCAAAGAATAGCTAGAACATATACACATACAAGGAAGTAATTCATGTACATCATTTTGTATGAATTGCCTGCAAATCATACATGTACATGATAAGAAGAGACGTTTATGTGTTCCATCTAAACCTGGCTCAGTTTCACTTTCATAGAGACTATTAAAATGGTATTTCCTGTTGTCACGAGTAATAATATACACAAAGCATTACAGAATTAAAGGCACAGTCAAAGGTATAAATTCCGTCATGAAAGTTTCATTGAGAGGAAGCAGAATAAATGTAGTCAATTACTGAAAACTTTACAAACTGAATGTTGTGAAATGTTGTGAAGACCAGATCACTAACCATATAACTTGAAATTAACATACTGCAAGCGGGAGATGCCCCATATTACTAATGATTTTGGTTCCCCCATCCCAACAAACCCAATAAAAAAAATTAAAAAAAAACAATCAAACAATATACTTCTGTATATCCATTGCCTATTTTTTCTGAAACTGTCAAGAATCTCTTCCCCCTGTTTGTATACTTTCTGTTAATATAAAATAAGGGTTAATGACATTTTCAATACCAAAAATTGATACAAACATTTGTGTTTCTGTCAAATATATGTACATACAGTATATTACCATCGTTTTCGTAAAAAGCTTATGGTGCAAAAAATGAATGAGTTGAGGATGCTACAGTATTGACAGAAAATAGTTCTTTAAACCTCTCAATACCTAATACAGTGGAAACTCATGATAATGAGCACTGATATATAACAAGATATATGATATAACAAGATAACTTTTATTGCTTGAATGTCCTAGATATCATGCCTTTCCACTGTATCATCAGGAAAAATACAAAAAATGCAACGAAAGAATATGACACTTCAGTTTATTGAGTGGATGAACGAAGAATGGTAATAAGCATCACTCGTGCTATTATTATTATTAATCATTTCCCCCATTAATTGATTTCATTTTTTGTCTTTATACTTTTGTATATTCAATAAAAGGAGTATCTTGATATCAAAAGTTTAGTTTTTTTAGATGGACATATTCATGAAATCAGTATGAGCAAGGATTGTAGCTATTACCACAAGAACAACATTTTCTTCAATTTTTTACCTCGTGCCCTGATTTAAAAAAACATATTTCATAAAAAAGATTTGGTAGAAACACACCTCTAGCTAAGATGGAATAAATTTATAAAGATTTTTTTTTTTTTTTTAAAGATGGCATATTCTTGGTCAATCATACCCTGAAAAACAAAACATCTTTAGTTTGTACAAAAATGGCTTATATTATTGTACAAAGTAAGAGAAAATAATAAAAATATCTTTGAAAAAATATCTAAAAAAATAAAAGATATATATATATTAATTATTATATTTTTGACTATCTTTTGTTTTCTAATCTTGTCAAAGCTTTTTTTAAATTTAAATGAAGTCTACGCTTCTGTACTAATTCTCTATTGAAATTCATTTACCAGCATTCTAAAATCACACTTATGAATTGAGCTGCAAGTGAAAATGTCCTTTGAAAATATTAAGAAAAAATATTCTAAACATTGTATAGTTTTCTCAATTAAATTCCTCAATTCCCATACTTACAGCGCCGTTGTATATTTACAAGATCTTTGGTATTTTGCCTAAAAAAAATAGATCTTCTGCTACAAAATAATCATATTAAAAATGGAATAAGATAATCTGACAAATCAAAGGTATTCTCTATCATGTAACATGTACAATAGTATATATATACTATCATGTCTTTGTAAAATTGAGATGGAGTGGTAACAAAGAAATGCATTCAAAAGATCATCATTTACATTAAAAATAAACCCAGCACCAGTAAAGATAGTTACTTAAATATTCTGAGCATGATTTTATCTCTTCAATATATTGCATTTTATATCTTTATAAAATAATTGGTATTCTGAGACCACTTTTTATCTCAGATTTCTTACTTCTTGCGTGCCAACTACAATCATAAGCATGATACATTGGTTAAATTGCATCACACGTGGGCGTGTCTTTGAGGGATAAAGTCTCACTGAAATGATTATCAGAAGACCAATTTAAATGCATTACAAGGGTATTTTTATCTCACTGAGATAAAAACGAATCCCAGAATATCGCCCCAGGCGGTGTTTCACAAAGATCCCAAGTTGAACGCAACTCTAAGTTTGACTTAAAAATTATTATTTTTAAACACATTTCAAGGGTATTTTTTATCTCACTGAGATAAAAACAAATCTCAGAATACCGCCCCAGCTGGGTGTTTCACAAAGATCCCAAGTCGAACGTAACTCTATGTTGGATTTAAAAATTATGAAGAGCCATTTGTCGCCTTAAAATAAAGTATATTCAAAAGCGAAAATTAAAATATTTTAGACTTTTTATAAACTCCACATCAAGAACATGAAATCTCCCATGATAATAGAAAATATGAATGATTTTATTCAACATGTTATGCCTTTCAAAATAACTTTTTTACAAAATATTTTCAAAGATGCTAACGGCTTTCCATAATTGCTACCGGTAAGTCCAACTTAGAGATAAGTATAACTTAGAATCTTTGTGAAACACCCCCCTGGTGTCGTGACGGTCACTCCTCAGGGATTGACCGGTCAGCGGATGGACATGGCCTTACGCAGACGATCCCAAAGCCAAGGTCGAAGGTCCTGTTTGGTAAAGTCACACAACGTGATGTGTCTGATGATGAGAGGAAGGTCACATGGTTTGACCAGGATTGGGATGATCCGTCTCTTCCTTGCACCTGAAATCAACATCAATATCAACATAAACAATAGATAATCATAGAAATGTACACATAAACAATAGATAATCATAGAATTGTACACATGAATAATAGATAATCAAAGAAATGTACACATTTATATTGACTTCTTTAGTATTGTGTCTTTGCATCTTTATAGTAAAAATGAATCTACAATAGACCTTTCTTGTAATATAATCAAATTTAACGCACAAATCTTTGTTAAGTGCCTTGTACAAATATTCTATTCACCTGTTACGGATAATTGTATTTTAATAGACGGAATGCAAATCGTGCACATAAATTGCTCGTAGGTATGACAAAACATGTATAATATATAAAATTTGCATTCTGACTATTGAAATACAATCATTTGTAACTGCTAGGAGAATGACATAATTTGTAAGGAGGCACTAAACAAAGATTTGTGAGTTAAATAAGATTACATCACAATAATGGCCTATTCAAATTGGTCCATCTGCATCACAGAGAAGTTTAAAATTTTGAGGTAAATATATATCAATTATGAGACGAAAGTAGGTTAGGTTACAGCTTTTCAAATACTGATTTAACAAATAACAAAACACTCCTATGCAAGAGCCAGACTCCTTTTCCAGTATTGATGATTCAATTCAATTCAATTCAATTCAATTCAATTTCAATTTCAATACAAAACATTACAAATCAATTATAAACATTTAAAACAAATGTAGAAATAAACATTTCACTTTATCACATCACAAGTGACTTGATTGAAATCAAGAATTCACTTCAATCCACCATCTTAACTCACCGGGTTCTAAGGAAACAGCAAACTTGGTTTGAAAGTCACAGCTAGGGCTCTGGAGAAACTCAGGCGATAGAATTACCAGCATTTTATTGCACCTGATGAACGATATAAATGATAGTTACAATACAATAGACAATTCTACACAAGACTGAACACAATCATTAAATGCATGCTCAATTTGTTTTCATTTTCATGTCAAATCCTTTGAATTTAAGATTAGAAGTACCAAGTAAATGGTGCAATACTATACACACATGATTATGTACTCAGTCATTTGTCATTTGTTACACCAACAAAACCAACACAACAGATTAGTAAAAAATATTTTTTTAAAAAGAGGAGGAATCTGTACAAGCAAAACCCAAAGCTCCTCAAAAGAGAGTAGCAAAAGAGATATTTATATAATACATTTTCATCTTTACTTCTCTCTGTGTCTGCCTCTCTCTGTTTCTGTATCTGTCTCTGTCTGTCTGTCTCTCTCTGTATACTGTTCCTCATTTCCAACACCCCACTTCCTCTTTCTATTGCAAATCATGGCCAGTATACATCAGGTACAGTATACATCAGAACCGTGTCAACTGGGTTTTCCCATGGTTTTCCCATGATTCTGAACCATGGGAATCACAATGTCTACCAGGCCAAGCGATTTTTCACTTATTCCACCATTATCTGGGGAGGTATTTCACAAAGACTAAGATCGACTTTAATAAGTTGGACTTGAACGATGGCAGGCCATTTATGCCACTGGTTGCTCTCACCATTGGTCTCTCAATTATAATCTTTGATACTATTTTTTCCTTCAATAATGAACTATCAAAAAAGATTTGTGACAAAGATTTGTACGTCCCTTGAGAAACCAATGCCAGGAATGGTTAGAGGAAGTTGAGGAACTAGTGGCATGACTGGCCTCCCATAGTTAAGTCCAACTTAAAGTCGATCTTAGTCTTTGTGAAACACTCCCCTGGTATAGAAAGATTAACACCTTGAACTCTTGACTTTCCCTTCTCATCCTCCCTCAAAGATGAGAATAGTCTACCTAAATTCAAACTTGACACTAAACTAAACCCAACATATTTTCAAGTATTCGTGATGAGGGAGCCCAAAGAGGGGGCCAAAAGAGGGGGCCAAAAGAGGGGGCCAAAAGAGGGGGTCGGAAGGGGAGGGGATATTAATAGCCCCTAAGCAAAGCTATTTAAACCTCAATGACATTTTCTTAAAGTTAAAGCCCCTCTGCACTAGTTTGGTATAGAGGGATTAGATCTCCCTGCGAGGTCACTGGCAGGTGGTTATCTGATCAAATCGGCTCTCAATTAACATAAGAAAAAGGGCATCATGGGGAATCAACGGGTACGCTTAGGCATTGTTGGCTGTATAGAGGGCGCAAGTAGCTATAAGTAGTGCAGTGGGGCTTTAAAGTTAGTCTCTGTTCCTACTCTTATCCCAATCCGAGTCTGGAGATAACATTTCTTATTCAGTGATCTACCTGTTTTTAATTATTTCTGCAGTGACAAGAGCATGCGAGCCTCCTGGTAGCAGATCTCTTTGATCGATGCAGAGTTTGTAGTTATGAGGCTCGGATTCCAACTGGCTCCTCAATTGTTGTACAAACTCCAGATCAGCCATAGCAAAACAAACGTAAGCATCAAACATCTCTGGTGGACCTGGGATGAGAGAGGAAAAAAAAGAAGATTGATTGCAATGAAGATTTATTTCATATTTTTTGATTTTTTTTAATTAGATTTTTTAATTTTTATTCATTTATTTATTTATTTATTTATTATTATTATTATTATTATTATTATTTTTTATTTTTTATTTATTTATTTTTTTTTAAATTTTTTTTTGGGGGGGCGTCATGAGTCTATAGTAATAATTATTCTTTAAATTAAAGTAATTAAAGGGGCATGTTCCCACTATTGTAGTTATCGCTGCTCTAGTCATCGCCATCTTGGTTCCGAAGATCGACTTCTAATTGGCATACAGCTGTCAATCAAAGTACGCGCGGCCTGGCCTGCCTTCGTCAAGCCAGCTGATCGCTGCCGATCCTGACGTCCCGAAAGTGGGCGGAAACAGCAGCTGAATCTTAGAACCGAACTGCGATCGGTATTACTTCGGCACATGTATGCGATAATCGGCATTGTGCGGGCAATCGGAACATGCCATCTGCGTAAGAGCCGTATTCTGTTGGTGTCAATAGGCAGCTAGCACCGTCCGCCAGCGGGTACGTATTTTGAACGCCCTCTGGAATACGGGGAACATGCCACTTTAAAGAACAGTGGCAAAAATGAGTCATCATCCTCGGTATTCATACAGTATACATCCCTCTGAAGAATGTTCATAAATCTACAAGTGATTTAAAGAGAGAGTTCTTGAGTTTCAACTCCATCATCAATTTCTCAATATCCTGAATGAGTTAGAGTCCTGTTTAAAACATAGGAATCTAATGCATGTACGGTACATTTGAATACACAGATTTATTGCACAATGTTCTGAAAGACCAATTCAATCGTTATGAGGATTATTTATGGGGAAAAGAGCTATTTGAAATGGAATGGAAATGTTTTTCTTACCAGATGGGGAATCATTGAGTGTGATTCCTCTCAGATCGTCTGATGTAGAGGACGCAAAATTGCCAGTGACTAAAAAAAAAAAAGATAATTATGATAATATTATATCATTATAAACCTTATATGGTAATCTTTATAAATATTGCAAAATCACTAGTCTTTACAGGTTAACAATTTGTGTGTAAAAAGTACATGCTCAAATCAAATTTGAACAAATAAAATATTATCTGACATCAAAGACTAGAATACACTGATAGAAAATAAAATGTTTTTCTTAAATAAAAGACGGACTGGAAGAACCATATTAAACCCAATTACAAAGCAGTTGTATCATTCATTAATATCTTATCAGTAAAGCAGTATTGAGTAACAATCCCAGTGCTTAAAAATAAATTTTATGCAAAATATTTTATTTATAAAACAAAGTATGAAGAAAAAAATCTTTCATTTTTACTAGAACTAGATTTTCTTCAACACATAGAATCTATAATTGCATTTAACAAAAAGGAAAACAGAATACACACAAACAAAAGTGGAGACCTCTAATTTAATTTGATTTGATGTTTGATCTTTAATTAATTCTTTTACATGTTCATTTGTTTACTTTGAATTGTATTGTACTGTATTTGTTATGCAGATCAAATGTTATAATGAACAATAATTGTAAATATTTTAGATTTGAAGCAATAAAAAATAAAAAAAATTAAAAGAGTTTTAAGTATTCAGTATAGCTTACCCTCTGGTACTTGAATGGGATCTCTGGCTTCAGCTTGAGTTCGTTTCCATCGCTTACAGTCTTCTTCTATTTTTGACAAATATGATCGATAAATTTTTAAAAAATTTAAAGCCAAGTGACGATAAATTCAGATCTTGTCTGGGATTTTCAAACATGACAGAAAAAGTATTACTGGATATTATCAAATTTAACATTGATATATTTGTGTTATTTTCTGTCGGTGATGATCAACGTGCCCTGTGAAAAGAACCTAACTTAGTTTCTTTAGAATGTTATTATTACTCTGTACAAGGTAATAAGTGATATGCCGTCATAATGCTGTTTATGTATATTTCATAATTATTTTTTAACTAATGATTACGGTCTTATTATATGGAATCTTATTGCAGTACAATAGAACTTTGAAGCATCTAAATATCCTGGCGCTGGCCCGCCCCCCAAAAAATGAAGAAAAAAGATATGGTGAATACAGTGAAAAAGAAGACAGACCAAGTATATTTTTTTAAAAGAGAAGGAAAATACATAGACCCCTATATCAGATATTGAGTTGAGGAAGATATAATAGACAATGGTCTCTATCTAGGGTAGTAGATCTCCTCATAACAAAAAAGTCTCCATAGAGTCCATACAATATATTTCAGATTTATTGTTTTCACAGCTACAGTCACAAAATAAATATAACAATCTTATATTTAATTATTTATATTATACAGAGTGACCAAGGTAAGAAACAGAGTTGAAGAGACAATTAAGATAATGAATTACAATTACAAGTAGTTATTAAATACACAAAAAGGTGTAGGCCTAGTGATATATTTAATATAGGTCTACCGTCTAGATCTATTTATTTTATATCACTTTTCCATTTTCTCACCAAGAAATGCAGGCAGTTCATGCAAGACATCATGTCTTTCAATCTTCTCTATGATATCAAGGAGCTTTCCAACATTACTCCCGGGTTTGGTGCACCAAGCAGATAAAACTTTGGCTACTGGATCGGATTCAAGAGCAAAGTTCTGGATATGAAGTTGATAACTGAATCCCATTTCTTCGGCCATATCCCTCCAGTCGCATGATCCAGGTCTTGGAGGGCGAAGGTACTGAGAGAGAATGTTTGTTGTTCTCCATCCAATTCCAGTCGCAGGCATGCTGCGCTCGATCTTATTAATGTTCTCATCTTTCGGTTCTTTCTCAGGTATTTCTGCCGCCATTAATTCCAAGCACCCACTATTACCGTCTTCGAGGGTAGTTGTTGCCTTTTCCAGCGCCGAAACTGCTGGCGCGCACGAGAGGGATTTGTCGCAAACCTGAGTGTCGCGGTTGCTGCTGTCTGCAGCTGGTCTTTTACTGAGAACCACTGCACCACAATCTCTCTCTGAGTCACCTGGCAAATGTAGCTTCACCGTTAAATCATTAAAATTCATCGTGAGATAATATTTGACGAGGTCACGCTCCAGTTGTAAAAAAATTGTATTGTTCCGGAACGGAATTTATATTTTACACGCATTACGTAGACAAACTTCCGGGTACGGGTTGCGATTCGAGGTAACGCACGCCGCTACAGCAAAGTGAACTTTCTCTAATTCAGACTTTTCTGCAAATTCACGTTGAAAAGATTACACATAATATCATATCATATATTCAGTGCTGTATTGATATACCTTACACATAATATGGTAGGCAGTAGGTAAGACATTTTTAGTAATTTAAGTTCATGAAAGCTTAAATTACTAAATTTTATTAGAAGTTTGAATTTTAAGGGCTGTAAAAAATAATGAGCGACGCATTTCGGAAAGGGGGTTTCTGTTTCAGGGGAATCCCCCTTGCTGCGGTTAACACGGCGTGGAAAAAAAAAGGGGGGGGGGTAGAGTCTGTGTCGGTTCACACCCCCCCCCCCCCCTATATCACACATACACGCCGAGTAAAAGCATTTTGCAGAATACTTCTAGGCCTACTTACATCTTACTTTTATACTACTACTTCTTAAAAAAGGGTATTTTTATTTTTAATAGTAGTTTCCAAACAAATTAGATCCTATAGGATTTACAAATATAGGATTGATGCTACTCTTAAAATTTTGATGATAATAATGTAGCGCCCACACCCCGAGGGAGGGGGCATACCTATGAAAGGAAGACAAAATAAGAAAGGTGTTGACTAGGATGCATGGCAAAACAAAGTCTTTATTACTTAATCTTCTACAGTAACAGTCTTTTCTTACAATAACATATATACGATCAAATGGCATAACATTAACACAAATAAATCTACCTGTTCGCATACATTGATTCATTAGCTCTCGGTGTTCTCTTTCTATATCACTAAGAACATCATCTGGGAAAGTTTCATTACATTACTATCTCTAAACGAAAATATCCTTACTTCCATGCTTTATTTAAAAGCGCAACTCTTCATCGATCTCATAATCATAACTTGGCTACTAATAAATAACTTAACCCTTATCAAATGTCTATAACATTGCGGTATCAGTCAATCTACTTTAGCTTCTAATCATATAACTCTTCACTTAATTAGCGTCTCTTTCAAGAAATCAAATATAGATATAATACAAGAATGTTGGCATAATCATCCCTATACTATTGTCTAATAAGCTTCCTACTCTTTACGCTCCAAGACTGAGGATCCACTGTACACATAGACCCTTAGAATGTAATTCTACTCTCAGCCTTCACTAATCCCTAAATTCACAAGTTACTTCTTGTCTCAGGACTTCACATTAATACTGAATAAACTTATAACTCTTCCTTAACTATAGCTCATGTATTTTCCAATAGTCATCTGCATCACTTTGATCTAATACTATCTTTTTCAGCGAGATTACTGAACTTGAAAAGATACATCTTCAACAACTTATATCCTAAACTCCTTACAATATTCACAGCACTGTCAAATAGTCTTAGTCTGCAGTCTGTACTAATAGCTCTAACAAACTTACAACCAATATTACGAATTCCTCTTACTGTATAATCTCGTCTTCACATACAGTTCATATTCTAATTCTAATCATCAACCAATAGTTTTACTAAATACATGTATATTCATTTCATGGTTATATACAAAGCAAAGTGAGAGTGAAAGAGAAAGGGTGAACCATACAGAGAGAGAGAGAGAAAGAAAGAGGGAGAGAATATAAAGAGAGAGGGGGGGAGAGAGAGAGGGAGATATATATAGAGAGAGAGAGAGAGAGAGAGAGAGAGAGAGAGAGAAAGAGAGAGAGAGAGAGAGTAATTCCCAATAACATTTAACCTGAATTATCATTCCTAACAATATAATACAATGAATTCCAGACAGTGATTATGCAAGTCTTCAACTACAATATTTCATCAACCCATCCATCACTAGCTAACTATTAGACAATTTGACCATGTGTTTCTCAACAAGTGTATTCCCCAACTCAAATCCTTTGTCTTCTCATTTTGCTGACTCTACCAAACTTTCATTCCCGCCTAAGATACCATTTCCAGCATGGGTCAAAACAAACACATTCTATCTCTAGCACTTCTCAACATAGCATTTGGGTATAGCATATACTCTATCTACACTGTGTGCGTGTAATGCATTGCAGTGGATGGTCAAGCTTGGGGGGAGAGGGGATTAAGAACTCTGATAAGAAGTTGTGTTCACATTGAACGCACTGCCATATCCTAATAACACACTAGTATTGTACACATGGTGCGTCCACACTCACTCATACCATAATACTGTAAGTTAAAGATAATCTGGACTTGAACAACTCATTTCGCTATTCAAACTGTATCTAACTCGAACTAGAATATATAACAATGTGCTTTGGCATAATGCATAGTAAATGGCACATGTCCTTGGCTAAGAATATATATATGTACACATGAATATCGAGCAAAAGACAAATATACTGACAGTAACAAAGTATATTCTCTTCTCAAAACTTACTTAAAATGTTGTCTAAGTCAAACAACATAATCATCAATCTCACATACACGATAATACTTTCCTATCACTTCTACAAGTGATTACTATGTTCATCAATGACATTATCTCTCCCCACATGGCATCTCTTCCCACATGGCATTTCTTATATTTCCTCTCATTGTCCACATGTCATATAATCCAACAAGTCATTGGCAAAGATCATTAATATCTCTTTTTACACAGTAATACAAGATATGTGAATAGTGAAGCTATAATAGTTTAGAAATACACATATTATGAACAACAAGAATATAACACAATTGAATAATATAAGATTCTTTCTTACCTATGAAAGGAAGACAAAATAAGAAAGGTGTTGACTAGGATGCATGGCAAAACAAAGTGAGAAGCCACTCCTGGTATCCCAGCTGGTGTGTTTAGGTTGGTTGTGGGTGAGGCCACTCTCGCAGGAGGGGGTACCTAATTAACTAAGAGGAGGGACTATATGGGGGCTAGAAATATACTTGTGTCATACATACAAAGTCAAAGATATACAAAAAAATAGGGGGGGGGGTATTCTTTGGGGCTCCACAATAATATTAATGAATAATAATAGTAATGGTTATAATAATCATAATAAAACAGTTGTCACAAAGACTCACATAGTTATTACCTTTGAAGGTCTCAACGCACTTAGAAAAAGGCAAGTAGGTAAGAAGCATAAAAATAGAAAAGCTGCAGAAAAGTGTTATTTACTACCAATTTGGAATATCAAGTAATGAAATAAATATGTTTTCAGAGCAGTTTTTGAATTATTGAACTTTATCAGCTGGTTTTACTTTATGGGGGATATTATTCCATCGTTTCAGGACTGCATGCTCAGTACCCCTTTAACCATAACACTATGTTTTGACCACATGTATCCCATATAGAGGTAGGTCTTTCTGCTGTAGAGTATATTACATTTTATCAACATTATTTCTTCCTTCATATTTCCTGTATTATTATTTTTTTCTAAAATAAATCTCCTTCCAAGGATACACATCTATAATCCACCTCTCCCTCGCCCTGTACCCCTATCTCTCTGCCCCATCCTCTCTCGTTTTACTCTATTAATATCTTTTCTCTCGTTCCTCTTTCTGTCCCTTTCCTTTCTCTCTCTCTCTCTCTCTCTCTCTCTCTCTCTCTCCCTGTCACTGCTCATTCTCTCTCTTACTTTATATTTCATTACCTGTACTTTCCTCCCTTACCATTCCCGCCCAAATCCTCCATTAATTTACAAAGCACAAACAAGAGACTCGGACAACCTGCAAGCAGTTGTGATATGAACATTATTTCTCCTTCTATCCCTCATTTATTAGTTTGGTCTGTGCCCATTTTTAAAACCATAGGCACTGCAAAACACATATAAATAGCATTATCAGAGCTGCCAACCTTTGGAAGTACAAATTGGTACTCAGCACCTCCAAAATTAGTATTTTACCATCAAAATTAGTATTTTTCAACCGGCCTTCCTTTCACCGATTAAAAACCTATTGATGTCGTAACGCAGCGCAAATGCATACCGTAAAGACCATATTTTTGGTGTAATTAGGTTTTCATATTCAATTATACATGTTCATCTATATACCTTGTTTTAACTGCAAACTCAGTTCTTTTTAGTTCCAAGCTCTTGCTTCAGCCACAAAATCACCTTGAAGATTCACAAACAAGTGACTATAAGCCACTCCATATAAAATGATGCACTGAATTCACAATATGGCTCTTGTAAAAATCTGCAATAATGTAGTACTATTAAAGTAAACATACATACATGAACAACTAACACAATGAATGGAGAATTTTAAAAGTTAAACATAGTTTTGCATAAAATATTGAATTTGATATTATTTCTGTGCAACTATTTCCTGTAATTGAAATTACAACAAAAACTATTTCTTTAAAGGGTTCTCCTTTGAAATTTTAATTCTCATATTGAATTTGAAATTCATACTCAATATGATGCATTTGAAATATTGAATACATCGGCTGTGACTCTAGCTTCATCAGGGTCCTCCCAAGTAATCATCTTGAATACATTTTGAACAGGAGAGGTATGTCACGCATGACACTGTGGTGGGATCAGTGTGTGCTGGTGTGTGTATGGCGGTAAAATGGCGATTGGATGACAAAAGTTGCTATCGATACTTTCATCAGTAAAGGACATATTTCTAAATAGCAGTCAAAACAAAGAAGAAAACAAAAGTCAATTCCATTGTGCTTTTAGTAATGCCTATGTGTTATTCTACCTTTCTTTTTTATAAAGAGCACATCATTTTCAAAGTCCAACATGAATAATGTATCTTGATAATTTCTCTTGACTTCTTAAAATTAATCATATATAATCGACAAAATTCAATCTAATCTAAAATCATTCTCTTCATTCATTGCAAATGATATGGTGGTCTTTCATTACTTTTTAAACCTAGTGAGTAGTGAAAACAGCAAATGCATCTTGCAGGACATCTGAAATAAGCTACCGGGAGTAAGTAAAACAATGCTTTCCTCTGAAAGTATGGTAATCAACCTCTTGATGGCAGAACTACGTCTTCTTTTTCTTTAAAAATATACAATAAATATAACCCATTATGAAATCTATCTTAACATTTCCCCCATTGA